TAATCACGTATGACAATTACATCTATCTTCGGTAGAAATTCAAAATGTAGATGGGTTGTCATCACTGAGGACTAAGAATGACATATTAACTACAAAAAGAGTTTTCGGTTTTCTGTACTCACTATACGAAAAACAGCAGCTATTTCACGGTGGTCTTCTGTGGGGAGAGGGTTATTTTCCGGTCGGGCCAAACTATTCGTACCACCTTTTTGTACGCAGCCGTTACTATAGCTGCAACGTGGCTCTAACACTTTAAACACATTCATGCATAAAAGTTGTACATAAATAAATAATATGTTGCAACTACTCTTATCGGATGACATAAGATTTTTCTATTCGTTTCCCATCATGTCATCCCAAACTCTTGATTATTATCATCATCATAACAGCCCTTTAAAAATCCACTGTTGAACATAGGCCTCCCCCGAGGAATGCCACAAATTATGGTCCCGAGACTACTACATCGACTTTCTGCATGTGTTACCAGGTCGTCATTTAGTGGATGTCACCCTAAACTTCGCCTACCGCTACGACGCTGCCACTCGAGAACATTTTTACCCATCGGTTGTCGGTTCTTCGAGCTATATGGCCGGCCCATTGCCACATCAGTTCACTAATCCGTTGGGCTATGTCGGTCACTCTGGTTCTACTGCAGATATCCTTATTTCTAACTTTATCACGCCGAATAACCCCGAGCCTAGCCGTCTCCACTCTCACTCTCTAGATAGAGTCTAGGGTATATCTCTAAAATATACTGTAGTCTATAGTTGTCTCTGACGCTATCTACGTGAAAAAATATGGTGTTGGATAATCTTACGTTGCCATCACATGCTAGAATTTTTTATGGCTTTCGAGTAAACAACCGCCTACCCAAATTCTCCTTACAACTGGAGTGGGCTCATACGAGCGGTTAAGGTAGGTAAGTAAACTGGCACTTAGCATTCAAACTCACTACATGACTAACAAAATAATCTGACCGGGGAAGGATCGAAGAACATTGACATCATCAACTTTTCGGTATATTAAAAAAACGGTGTTTCTGATAAAATATATTTCACTTCTGATATTGCTGTTATTATACTGAAGATAAGCCCAGACAGAAAGACACTTCAATTTTATTTATATGTATAGATTACACTGAAACCATAATGAAAACAACAATTTTTACGTGGTAGAGCCACGCTGCAGCTATATTAACTGTATAGTTGTAGCACGAATGGGTCGGCTCGACCGGGGAAGGACCACGCTCTCACAGAATACCAGCGTCAAATAGCAGCTTAATGCTGCTGTGTTTCGTATGGTGAGTGTAGAGAATCGGAGACCCTCTTTACTGGAAAAGAGGCATTCCATCTTAGTACTCAAGGTTGACAACGCATTTTCATTTTGATTCGCAAAAAAGGATAGATGTAGACGTCTATGGGCCACAGAAACCACTTACCATCAGGTGGACTGTGTGCTCGCTTTTCAGCCTTTTCCTATAAAAAAAATATTGTTCTACTATCTGTTGTATACTATCTGCTTTATTACAATATAATACACCGGAAATTGGAAGGAGCTCCCTCACTTTGTTGGCTTCTTTTCTTTTACTTTAGTTTTCCTGAAACAAGTTTTCTTTTACGGGTGAACGTAAATAATGTACGTCGAAGCGCTTTGATGTAAATGAAATAGTTTTGAAATATTACCACAATCGATGAATTCATTCATTTTTAATACGCTATATTTTGATAAATAAAAAAAATAAGTGTAATGAATTGTAATGGCGTATTTTTAACGCTTGTGTAATGGCGGTGTAAATAAACCAATACCCCATTTCGTTCCGTGGGTGTCGTAATAGAGAATCAGGAGAAACAAACCAGAAGATGAGCATATTCCTAATATATTTTTTTACGGAATAAGAGTTACAAACAAGCAAACATTCCACCTGATGGCAAATTGATGCTCTGGCCCAATAGAATCTACAATTGATTAGATAATATTGATTACATTATACGGAGCTGCAGCATGACTCTGTCACGTCAACATATTTGCTATTAATTTAAAAAAAAAACTGCGGTAGTAAATCACCCTGCTAGTAACAGTGATTTTGGCTTATTTCATACTTCCGAATGATTTTTTTTTCTAAGAGAGATACCAGTAACATTTTAGCCTTATTAATACCGGGAGTATTTACCGAGAGTTTTTATTAACCACTCTAGTTTCTTTCTAGTCTAGAAAGTTTAAAATGCTTGAGATATGAGTGGAGCGAATTCGTACGCACGACTTTCTGAGTTTGCACACCGAACTCTACCTTTTGGCTATTGTGGCTTATTGAGTTGCTCCTAAAGTGTACTGTGGATTATAAAGAAAATGCTGCATTTTGTTTGTAGGGAAGAGCAAACATAATATGTTTTGGTCTTTTTTCCAATTATGTAGAGAATGTCTTTAATATAAAATTACTTACAAAAAGTAAATTTTGCTCATTTTTAAAGAAGCTTTAACCTGTGCAATGAAGGGTTAATAAATAAGAAAACAAAATGTTTGCTACATTTTAAACTGAAAATTGTAAACAATAATAGAAAGCATAGCGTAGAGCTGGTGTAATGTGTAGTATTACAGTTGACATGTTACAGTACATGATTATGACGGTAATTTGTCCGCAGTTCTGCGGTTAATCAATAAATACTACGTAACCATCAGTAATTAATTTAACAGGTACCAATGAATGTGTATATATTTAGAATAGTTCTATAGAATTCCCATAAGCAAACACGGTGCGAATCCTATCTATATACGGTATACACATAAATAAAATATAAATGTCTGTCTGTGATAATAAAATAACTGGCTTCTATTATACTCAGGGGGTTATTTGCATGCTATTAAGACCAAAACAATTATTTTTCAACATTTTGTCTGTTTGTTGTCTGTCTGTATGTCTGTTCGGGGTAATCTACCGAATGGCTGTAAAAATTATTATGAAACTTTACGAACATATAGAGAGCAATTCCAGGAGACATCTACGCTACAATTTATCGAAAAAAAACTTGAAAATTATTAAAAAAATATAAAATAAGATACGAGCGGTTAGGTTAGGAGCGGTAGGAAGTAAAACGTTTGATTTGCATGTATCTCATTCAAGAAGATAATATATCGGATTGTTTAATTATCTCCGAAACTTATTTTAAAGTTCCAAAAACTATATTTTTTAGGTCCATTTGATTGTGACTGAACGTAACATTTTTGTTTGTTTCCTCAAAATGATTATTGGCTTAACTAAGATTATTTTCGATGGCTCGTTAACAGTGACTAAGCATTTGGCCATTCGTCAGTGGGTCGCGGATTACAATCCCGCAAGAAACAAGTTTTTCAGTTATAAGTATTTTCGTATTACCTAAAAATAATTGTTGCGGGTCTGAATGTTTTTACTCCTTGACCAAAATATTCAACTTTATTCTCTGATAAAGAGAAAAGTTTAAAGAAATAAATATATTAACATTGGCCTCTCAGTATATTTTACGAAAATTTAATGTATGTTAACAAAAACGAAATTAGTTTTAATAAAAAAGTGACATACGAGTACACTCTTTATACACTGGGAACAAACACAAGCTAGTGATGATACCAATTTATCGACTCCACAGAGTCAATAATTCATTCATGCGGCAACTATACGCTGTTACAACAAAGTCCCACAAGGTTTCTCTCCTGCCAAATTTAAATATTTTATTCAACAAAAACTGTATAAAAAAGGTTATTGTAATATAAATTAATACATGGTTGATAAATACGCCTGGGACTGAGCTAGTCGCTTTCATATTGTTTTTTAAACAAATTTTGTAAATCGTTTTTTTTTAATTTCTTATTGTATAATTTACTTTAAAAAAAGTCCCACTTGGATTCCCGTTGGTTATTCTTTGGACAGGTTTGTTTTTCCGAAATGGTAGAATTAAAAAATCAATTTCAATAAGAATAACATGTAATCTATATTGAATAAAAATATTCTATTCTAAAACTATTCAGCTATTTAAGTTGATTTCACATAATTTATCATCAAACTGTAAAAGTTTAATTCTGGAATTGGGCTTGTAGGAAGGATTTTCTTAAATAGTTTGTGCCTGGAATTAATGATGGCAGTATCAGACGTTTCGCAATTTTATAGATGCTGCTCGTCGCTGATCTGGGTATTTACTGTACTACTGTTACTAACTGAAGTAAATGAGCTGGTTATAGCACCATTAGTGACCATCAAGAAAAGAGCCTCCTTTTTTTAAAAGGCCGGCAACGCACCTGCGACCCTGGTGTTGCAGTTGTTTATAAGCGGCCGTAGCTACTTACCATCATGTGATACCCCACACTCGTTTGCCTCCTCTTATATAAAAAAAATCACAAGTTCTTTTTTTTTCATTCTAATGTAATCCTTAAGTACCTTACGACTAAACGAGATGAAATGTGGTGATACATTCTTTTAAGCCAACACACGACAAAATATTGATATTGTATCGTAATAATAATAACAAGTAAAACCTTTTAGACATTTTCTATTTTCATTTATGAACGTATTCTACGTCAGTCCGTGCACTAATATTAAGGCTATTGCTCCGTAAATTTTTGTTCAATGGCTTGGGATGAACATGATAGCGTTGCAACAAAGCACACGTTGATTTTAGATCTTTTCTGAAATAGATTTTTGGTATATGTACATAATTAAATGAAATTTCTACTAAAATTTTATAATATTTTTTTAAATCATTACAACTTGTAATATATTTTTGGATTGAAAAGTGGAAATTTCTTAAAGTAAATAAATTCGAATTTGAAAACATTTAAGAATATACTTTGTCAATTTATTTTTTGTATTGGACTAAGAAACTAAACACGACCTTACAACGAGGGATTCTCATAGACTTCCGTACAGTGCGAGCGCTAAGAAGCGAAAGGGGCTTGTGTGTTGGGTTGCTCGGTTTTTATAGTCAGCGTGAGACAACTTATAGTGTGGTATTCCACTAATAGTGTGGTATTCCTTATACGGCCTCTCCTGGCTGTATGTCGTCCTCGATACGAGCTCTTCGAGAGGTAGCACTAAAATCCGTGGTGCTCGATGTGGATGACTCGGCTTTTTTGTCAACATCTAGTAAAGGTATAGACAGGTCAGCTAAAGGGACTGATCCTGCTATCGACGCAATCTCTTCGTCGTCCGTGTTTTCGTCTGAAAACGACTTTAAATTAGAAACTGTTCAATAGACTTGCAGAAAGTAATGCACTCAGTCCCGCAAGTCTTTCTCTCGATGATGATCGAATGAATGAATTAACTGAATGATGATTCAGTTAATTCGAACCTCAACTATCAACGTATTCAGTCTCCACACATTCATTTTTCTTAAATAAAACAGAAACACGTCTTAAAAAAAGCAAACCCAAGGCCCACACTGGGTTTGCTTTTTTTGGTGAAGATAGAGGACTACCTCTATCTTCACAAATCCAGGTCGTGCCTCGCTAGAAGGAACTTTCTCGTGCTATCGCATGTTCCTGATGCGGACCGTATTCGTACGTCAAGCCTCAGAGACAATATTCATACGTGTGAGCCCCAAGGTGTAGCGACAAACATCAAGGAAACCTGAGTAACAAGAGATTACATGGTTAGAAAAGGGTGACAAAGAAGTAACAAGGATTAAGTAGATAACAACGCCTGAGTACCACACACAGAAATTAGCCATATGAGGTTAATAACAAATTATAGTAGAGCACTTACACTTAGCCCAAGTGTGGTAGACTAGACACCAAGGTGTAGCGACAAATGCAAAGCGACGAACGCCTGAGTGACTAGTACCATAGCGACCAGCACTTACACCTAGCCCAATAATCGATTGACTACAATGACTTACTCACGAAAAACGCCGTGCACGTATCTTGTTACCAGTCTTGCCACGGTACTATATGTTGAGCTGCTGATCTTGCTTCTAGTGATCTCTCGTAAAGCCTCCCGGTTAGGTCTTGAACTTTCGACGGTACCGTCACGCACCAATGCGCGAATAACTCGGGTGTTAGCTTCTGTGCCGATTAGGAGATTCAGTGGAAAAACTTTGAATAGTTTTCTAAAACTAATTGGAACTTCCACAACGTGTCTGATCAGGATGCATTTTTAAAATAGCATGTTTAGGACAGTCCTCATATATCGCTCGGTCTGGCCATTAGCGTGATGTATTTACGGATTTATGTAGAGGGAATTGTAGCCAAGTTCGCTTATCTACGTTACAAAATTATTAGATTCGAACATGCGTCCTTTATCCGTAATCAAAATTTTAGGCACTTCGAATAGTGAAATAGCTTGCGTAACGACTCACTTTAATTCCGTGGCATCTTGTCTGCTTATGAGATACAAGAGATAAAATTTAATAAAAGCATCTGCTTCAGCTTCAGCTTCTGATACTGGTAAAGGACCTAGAGCATCGATATATACAGTGTGAAATGGGGTATCTTGTTTTTCCTATGAAGTGATATTTTGTAAATTCGCACGAAGAACTCTCTTTTGTGAAATACATACGAGTTAATAAGCCACGTATTTGTATACAAAGTGTATGAGGCTCGGAACCAGAAATGTCTCAAGAAGAAGAGGTCTCGTCTTTTCTGCGCTAATGTGCTCGTGTTAGTTATGAAACACTTTGAGAAGGCTGAGTCGGTGGCTCTTGGGGAAGTAGCAATGTAGTCGTGGTTGCTGACCTACTGGAACGTACTTATAGTACAAGATATCGTTTTGGACTGAGTTAACGATTGGTATCAGGACTGTCCTTGCGAAGTTATTCAATGAGATTTTAGGTCTCATTTTCAACTGATTGTGCTATTTAGGCCCAGTTACGGAGCTTAGAAATTTGGTTAACACTGACTGTAGGGTGGTGGCTTAGGTAATCCGTATGCGGCATCATTACCCCTCTTTACACTTCTTTACACTTAATTTGATAATTCTTTAAGAAAGATACACCAAACTCTTGGTAACAAGTATTTCTTAAGTTCGGTAGACATTAGTGCGTTACAATCAGTTACAACTATGAATTTTAACCCTACGAAATAATATCGAAAATTTTGGAGAGCTTTGACGACAGCGAGGCTTTCAAAATCGTAAGGGTGATATTTCTTCTCAGTTCCCTGTTTAGACCTACTGAAATAAACAAAGACGCGTTTCTTTGAGTCTGTGTGGACTTGTAGCAGTACGACGCCATAACCAGCACTACTCACATCTGTATGAACTTCGGTATTAAGATTTGGGTTGAATATCGCAACAACTGGTTCACTTTTTAGATGCTTAATGAGATCTTCTTGGATAGCGTCGCATTCGGGAGTCTGATTAAATTTAATGTTTTTACAAGTCTGATGATCTTAGTTGAATAGTCTTTTATATACCGCCTAAAGTATCCTGCTAGGCCAAGGAACTGACGCACTTATTTCACGTTGTCTGGTGGAGCGGCATTAGTTAGGGCTTCTAGCCTATGTATCCTAATCATCTAGCTGAACATGATAAACATTCTTGACCCATTCATGCTGCAGCAATGATACAACTGCAGCGTGGATCTATAACGTGTATTTTTATCGTCGCCATCATATGGCATTAATTGAAACGAATACGCTAAAATTAATTATTTACGTAATTTGTAAATTTCGCAATATGTCCAAGCAACTACTAATTTAATTATTGAGTAATTGAAAGGAATACGTTAAAATTAATTGTTTACTTAATTTATGAATTCTGCAATATATCCAAGCAATTAATAATTTAATTGTTGAGTAAACGTAATTTTATATCCTGGATAAAATCTGATAAAATATTTTTTAATGTATATTTGCTGTCGTTTTCTAAATTTATTTGCTACAATAGATTGCAAGCATTCCAAAACCGTTTCTATTGGATGTTTATCTTTAACTTTATTTTAAAATATTTTATGCAAATATTTCAATCGATTGGTAATCCTGTGGGGCACTCCTATAACTTCAGCGTTGACCTTTCAAACAAGAAGTATGTATATATTTTTATAGATAATGTCTACTATTTTGGGCCAGTTTTTATGATGTTTCTATAAAAGAGTGTACACAGCCAGGGGAACAAATAGGAAGAAAAATAATATATACGAATTCTGATTATCCACTCTAGGACTGGTTTTGTGCATTTTTTGTGGGAGACTTATGTTCAGCAATGGACTTTTGATAGGTTGTAACGCTAAATACTCGCTTCTACAAAAGAAAATAATGTCAAGGAATGTTCCTGGCTGACGATAAAGAATTATTTACTCGTTATTTTTTCCGTACGTTTGTATGAAAATTTATTTTGCTCAAAAACGAGATACGGCATTAGCACTTAGTGGTCTCTCATCAAAATTCCGTTAACCGTTTGCTACAGGAAGTGACGCAACGTTTTACTAACTTATCGTTTGTAATTTAAGAGACCTCAAACTTTTTTACATTATCGCCAAAGAAAAACAGAACAAAATAATTTTCATGCAAATTAGAGAAGTCGTTATCCTGTTTTGAAAATTGAATAATTTTTACAACTCTTCATGTCGAAGATGATAAAATATAGGCACTAAAATATAGGTTGCTTTATTTCGTTATATTCCTCGAACCAATCGAATCTTATCTCAACAGTGTTCAGCAGTGGGCTACCGATAAGCTATAATAAATGAATGAAGAAATCGGTTAAGCATATTGAAGGATGACAGATTGGTATTATAGAGCTTGATGCTATCTCGGTTATTTGCCCAGACATGTCGTCTGGTAATTTGACTTTCCATAACCTTAAATAAATTTGCCCTGTCACAAGTCTTACTCTTCAAGAGCTCGCTTTATAGCATGTTCCTGTGTGTTGTTAAATATTGGCTGGAAGCCGTGATTAGAAATAACTGTGCCAGTATCTAACTCAGACCAACTCTCCTTCAGACAAGATAGAACATTCAACACGATCGGCACTCGTTGATCAACCGGTCCAGACTAAAATGCAGAAAGCGGTGCTCATAGTTATACCTGTGTTAACACAATCTCAAGTTTGGTCTCTCATGTCCACTGAATTTTATTTCATTCATTTATTCTATTTCTTACGTTTAATGTGTATATTATGTCATGGTATCTCATTTATTTATTTATTATTTATTGCATTCCTTAAAATGAAAGCATACAAAGGGCAGACTTAATGCCTTGAGGTATTCTCTACCATTCAATCCATGGAGTGGTGAGAATTTTGAACAGTAGCAATATAGAATAAAAACGAAATAAGAATGATAATCAACTACGTAATATTATAGAATAAGGGTAACAAACGAACACAAAGTCTACCTGACGGTAAGTGGATGCTGTGGCCAATAGACATCTACATTAATCCTCGATTAAGAATCAAAACGCAGATGCGTATTCACACCTGAGGTCTAAGATGCAATGCCTCGTTTCTAGTAAAAAAGGATCTCCGGATCTCTACACTCATCATACGAAACACAGCGGTATTAAGTTGCTGTTTTAAGCTGGTATTTTTATGTGGTCCTTCCCCGGTCTAGCCGACACATTCGTGCTACAACCATAATATAGCTGCAGCGTGGCTCTACCACGTATAGCATCTACGTTTGACTAATATTAACTATTAAATATCTGTTTTGTATACACACATACATACATATATATAAATATATACATATTAAATTACATATATAAATAGTACATATAAATAATAATACATAACCACTCACGCCTGTCACCCAGAGGATAGGCATGATCCTGACACACCTCTCGTCTCCTCCACATTCATATACCTACTCTACTCGTAATTTGGCCCGTTTTCAATATATCGCTAATTTGGTCGATAAACTTTCGCCTAGGACGTCTCTTTCCGACTCTGCCGTTCACTTCTGCAACATAAATTTGCTTCGACACTCTTTCCTTATTCATTATTTCCACATGACCAAACCACCGAAGCATTCCTTTCTTAATCTTGGTCACAGCATCATCTTGCAGATAACACTCCTCTCTAATCACACAATCTCTCACCCTGTCACTCAGATTCAACCCTAACATACTCCTTAACGGCCGCATTCCTACTGCGTTTATTGTACTCTCGTGCTTTTTCTGCCACACCACAATTTCTCTACCATACGTTAAAGTAGGGACTAACACAGTATTGTAAATTGCGTTACGTGCCGTTTTTTGACACATTCTGTCTTTCCACAATAGAGTGTAAAGTCCTATTTACTCTATTTCCTGCGTTCGCTGCATCCCAAATAAACAAACTCATCTACTTAATCGATCAAAGATCAATTTTCTATCAATGTACATATTATTATGTATTTACCTAACATGAGAGAGCCACACGGGAGCATTTTACAGTTGAAGCACGAGTGGGTTGGTTTGACCAGGGAAGGATCACCCCCCATAAATTTCCTCGTTTGCCATCGTTGCCACGCTCACCGCAGTTATTTTTATTTTTGTAGCTGTTATGTATTAGGAAGACGCCGCTGCCCATCTCCTGTTCATTTTTACTAGTAACGAGGTATTCTTTCTTAGTCATTATGGATGCCAACATATTTCAATTTTGATTCTTAATCGAACGTATACGATGTTATAGGCTATAGAACTATGTGCCCGTTTGTTACCCTTCCTTCTACGTAAAATATTGGCTATATTGTCGAGAATACTACATTTAATATATCTCTTATATAGTTTTCGTCGAGAGTGGAAAAGAATGTGCTCTTCAGTTATCGGTTGAAAAAGCCTTCTTCATGGATTACACCTTATCCGTCATATTCATGAAAATTTAATGATATAATATAGGTACTGATAAAATTAACAATCTTGGTTAAAATTAAAATTATAGATAATTTTTAATAATATTTAAAAGCAGTGGTATCGTAACAATTTATTTCATTTACGCAAACACGACACGTTGAATAAAAGTACTTTAATGTATTTTTTGCGTTTAAATATAAATAATTTTTAAAGCCCGATGTTCACGATCAATCCTTCTTCTTATCTTGTTAATTTTTGATCCAATCTACGTAGAATGATCTTACAGTATCTTAAAGTCTTGCAGTAGTAGCTTAGTGCTTGAGTTTGAATATAATTTGATTAACTATGTATTTTTCAAATTTAATGATATAAATATACTGATAAAATTAACAAGCTTGGTTTAAATTAAATTATAGACAATTTTTAATAATATTTAAAAACAATGTGTCCATCACTGTCACCCGTGTTCACGGGGAATCCTCAGCTTGTTAATTTTTGATCCAATCTACCAAGAATGATCTTACAGTATCTTAAAGTCTTGCAGTAGCAGCTTAGTGCTTGAGTTTGGATATAATTTGATTAACTTTGTAATCCTTAGCAGAATGTAGCACACAGTCATGTTCTCTAAAAAATTTAGATGTTTTTTTTTAATAGACTATTGTCGTATTGATAGAAAATAATGTTCTTTTGCGAGGATTTGTAGTTAAGCAAATTTGATGTAATAGCGAGAACGATGGAGCGTCAGCGCTTTAAATGTGAAATGTTCAGGATAGTCAAAGTAAAAAAATTGTCTGGAGTTAATAAAAATTTAATAAACGTCATAAAATCCGAAAAAGAGTATTACCATGCTTAACGCATTGAGTTGTTGTCTATTAACCAAAATATAACCAAAATATAAGTATTTCGACACTTTTGTCCTTATAAGCAACAATGTGCGACGTAATAAGTGATATTTAAGTAATTTTCCTCAGTGCATTAACATATTTAAAAATACCATTAAATGCCTAATATATGAGTTTTATTCTCCATTAAGAACATTAGTTTCTCCTTAAGATATCGATCATAGTAACAACCTATATATTTCATGGGCACAGGTCTCTTTTTGGGGAGTTTTCAGTGCAGGAAAAACACCACATCGATTTAAAAAATCCAAGATAGAAACATTACAGTATACGTACTGCTGTTATGTGACTGAAATAGTCTATAAGTCTAACCTAGTAAGATATAATCACATAGTATTTAAAATTAGAGTCTTTATTTAAGAAAGCAGTTATCTCCTAACATAAAGTTGCTTCTTATACGAAAATAAACAAAAGATACTCTTGCGTTTTCACCTTAGCGTAAATAATAATCATCTATTTCTTTTTTCTCTCTTGTTTCTTACGCGTAGAAGAAACACTTCTGTTTAATGTTAAACCTGCAACAGTATTATCTCTAGCTTCTAACGCTTCGATTAAGCCTGGACTCCACTGTGAATCTAAAAAAATTTTATTACTATAATGATAATTATCGTGCGTAAAAATACTAAATAACTTATAACTTTAAATAACTTTAGTTTAAACAAAATAATTTATCAAAACATTTTCTTGCAATGTGACACACATTCCATCTAATTCTATATAATTAGCAGAAATAAAAATACGAAAATTGTTCGTAAAAATTATATTGTGATACAAAATAGTTTGACGATATACGGAAATTATGAAAGGTAAAGTACGTACCAACGAAAAGTTTTTCCAAACGATCACACCTAACTTTCTGCGCTTCCAGTATATGAACGTCATTGTATATTTGGAGTTGATTCACACGTTCCATTGCTTCTTCTATGCGAGCTTGTCGGCTCTTTTTATAGTCTTCAAGCATTTCAGGTGTTATTATTACACTAATAAAAAGAAAGGAATGAATTAAAATACTTTATATAAATTAATTCTACATAAGATTATAGAGGATACGTGGTGAGCCATGCTGCAGTTCCAGTAGTAGTATAGTTGAATCACGAATGGACACAGAATACCAGCGTAAAATAGTAGCTTAATGCTGCTGTGTTTCGTATGGTGCGTGTAGAGAACCGGAGATCATTTTTACTGGAAACGAGGCATTCCATCTTAGTCCTCACAGATGACAACGCATCTGCATTTTGATTCGTAATCGAGGATAGATGTAGATGTCTATGGTCCACAGCAAAAACTTACCATCAGATTGTCTATTTGCTCGTTTTTCACCCTATCCTATAAAAAATAGTAACTAAACATTCACTTGGTAGGTGGTACGGGGTCTGTCTGAGTAGATACCACCCTCTTCACGCAAATAACAATGCATGCGTTACTGTGGTCTGATTTGAAGGCATTTTATCTTAATCCTCAATGTGACAACGCAGTTGTAACCTTCTTAGTTTATTAGTTACAAGTGTCCTTGGGCCGCAGTAACCACCTAACATCAAGTGGATTGTTAGTTCACTTTATATATATACGTAATGAAATATTACTTATACATAATTTAAAAACGATGATTAGGTGAAATGCTGCAATAATTTAATAAAATATTGACAGCTTCCATGACAAATCTGTGACTAACTTCAAACAAATGTATTTTGATATTAGGTATCGAATTTTTCTATTTTACTAGACATTATATAGTGTCGATAGAGTAGGTACGAACTCTCTACATAAACTTCTATATACTAAAAGATAGGATAAACAGGGACACAAAGTTAAAAACTGCGGAGGCAGATTTTATCACATTTAATTTAACGCCTTATGTCCAGTTATATTCAATATCTTATTGTTACGAGCTTAGGGTTCATGACAGTAAAAACTGCCGATCGAATTATCAAAATTGACACTTTAATTACTGAACACCAATAAAAACTTTAAAAAAAAAACACTAATAATTAATCACACTAATCACTTTTATTTCACTTTATTTCGCTCCGAAGCTTGTATCGCCAAATTCAATACTAATCCGATCGCGGCTATCAACGGCTTTATATAGGGCTCTTCCACCGAAACATCTAGAATATTCCAGCAAATACTGGCGTCGACCGACCAGGCGCAGAAAATTCAAGTGTGGGGCTTCTAGAAAGCTTAATTCTTCTGTTCGATACTAGATGGCGCTGTTGGTGGAAAGTTCAAGTTTGGCATTTTCTAGAAAGCCCTCCTCGCTCTGTTTATCCGACACTAGATGGCGCTAGTGCCAGGTACCAGACATCAACTTAGGCGCGCAACATTATATTCGCGTAAATATAAGATAAAGCGTAAAATAGGATTTCGAGAACCCTTCCGGTAAGCGGAGCGACAGGCGGCGATTGAGGGACAGATCGTCCCCGGTAAAACTTTCGGAAAGTTGATAATTGCAGTTGACTCAGAACTTCATTTTGTAGCATTGGGAGACCTAGTTCAATAGTGGAATTTTGAGTTTTGATTGATGGCTTCCCTTACGACCTCAATAAACGGCACGGAAATTTTTTTGCAGATAATTAACTCACCGATCTTCATCATTCCTTTCTCTTGTACATAAGGGAATAAAATCAAGTGGTTTAAATTTATCTTGCAACTCCTGTGGCATTGTCAAGTATTTGTCTTCATTTTTAAAGTCTACACAGGCTTCTGAAACTTTACCATACATGATGTTTATAATTTTATCAGTTACTACTAGTTTTCTCATCGTATAAAATTCGTATAAAAGGACAAATTACCAACTCTGTCAGAGATAATAGAATTTAAATTTAGTTAGTTTTTTATCTATTTCTCTCAGGGTTGACTGGTAGATATTGCCATAAGACATTAACTTCTTCCATTGTAACCCATAGATTAAGGTGTATTACGCCGTTACTGTTTAGTAAAACTCCACTACTGAATATAGGCTTCTCCTATTGACTGCCTCTTAGGACGGATATTTGCCATAGTTGCCAAGCTTGGCAAGCGTGTAGGCAATCGCAGTATTTTATTTTAGTTGTTATTTTGAAGACGCTGCTGCCCATCTACTGATTTGTTTCCCTTTGTCGCCTTTTTCGAAAACTAGGGGATGATATGGGGTAGTGGATATTCTCACACTGCCACTACACGGTAAAATTTGTATTAAAATGAATACAAATAATAAAGAAATAAAATAATAAATAAGTAAATAAGTAAGTAAGTAAAAATCACTAAGAGCCAAATCCTGAATTATCCAAAATTTGGTTGAAGCTTAAAACCAAAATATAATAAATAAAGATGCTAGGTAAATGCCTTCCCTCGTTTCCTAGAGAGTTTTTAAGCAATTATTCCACTGTGCTGCTCTTGTGCGTGTTAACGGACTACAACTTGTGGGTTTCCGCTCGACGGTTTCCTCCACTACCAATCATGAGCATTTCCCTCGACGATTGCGAGGAGTGAGGTAACGTATTCATATCTACCCATCGCACTACAAGACGGCGTTAAATAGTAAACGTACTTTGCGACGAAAATAATATATTACCTTCGCTCTCAGTCGCCGGTGTCGGACCTTGAATATGGCGATTTTCTGAAAACAAAATTTTTATAAAAACAAATGTGCAATATATGGCCAAAAAAACAACAATAAATTTGGGAAACAACTTACTAGTAAATTCTTCAGACACAGCATTTTCTAAGATCTGAAAAAATATTTTAAAAATATAAACCAGTATTTGAAGTATATTATTATGACTACCAGCTGTAGTGTATAAATATAATAATAAAGTACCTCGCATGATTTCGCATCTGTATTTTCCACAAACAACGCAGTAGTATTTTCTAGAAATTCTTCTCGGAATTCTTTCCTTTAAAGAACAAAGTGAGAATTTTAAAATTACTTTTATATTTTCATTTACAGTCCGACCAGCAAATAAAGACATTCGCCATATTACGACTATTCATGAAACTAAATTTCAATTACTGGCGTTAGGATAGTGTCAATATATCAACTTAGGAGTAAGTCTTTCAAATATCAAAATTTCGTTATTAGTTCAATTGAATTTTATATATTTTTTAAATATCCGAAAGATTGGAATTTATTTCCTAAAAAAACGTTATCATAACAGTTGAGGTAATAGAAACTGATACAAATTTAGAATAATTACATACAACATATGTATATTATATTATATTATGGTAAGCTTGATTAATGGCTATTGTGGAAATTGTATAATTTTTATGATAATAGATCATTAATTTAAAGTAAAAAATAACAATAAGAGAGTTTACTTTAGCTATTTATCAACATGAAATAAAGAATCTGAAGAAAAACATTTTGGAAGAGGCATAAAAACCAAACAATAAAATACGTAATTTTATGTTACTTTGAAAAGTTAGATAATCAATATTTCTGTGGTAAGTAGGCCTATTTTGACATTTGTATCAATAAGTTTTAATAAAGTATTTTAAGATTTTGGTGCAAATATTAGAATAGTTTTAACTTTAATTGTTAAAAATTTTACAGTCACCCAAAAAAAAAACCTAAGGTATGGAGAGTCCTTTAGCGTCTATACATCAGTGTAAAATCACTAGCAATAATAAGGAGATAATATGTATAGGAGAAAATATATAATATGAAGTCCTCTAGTCGCTAAACTAAGTCATCTAGACTTTACTTTTGATTACCATATAAAATATACAAGAAGCGCTTCGTTAATTACTAATTATTCTCCCGGTCGGGCATGATATTATTTCGTGTTTATTTATTTCAGAATTCATTGCCTTTTAAGTGAAGAGGATGAATTTTTGAAATTTATAATCGACTTTTTACAAATACTTGGAAGTGTATTTCCAACCCTAAAAACTTTTTCATTTAACAGGCATAATGTAAAACTTCCCCTCTTCATTATTTACAAACAAAGGGACTGATATCTTGTTATTTTCTGAATCAAGTAATATTTTGTACACCATTTTATTTAGTTAAAATCGAACATACAATGTAAAAATGATTGTTAAAGACACAATTTAAATAACAGATTTTAAGATAATATTATATACTATGATAACATATCCCACAACAATATTAACGTCTTCTCTCAAACATTAAAATAACTATCTAGAAACGGTTATTGTTTAGTTGGATGACTAAACATAATGAAGCATTGAGTAGAAAAGAGTTCACTATACTTTTCTGTGTGCGGTTGTTGGACACCGCACCATCTCATAATAATATTTTTAATTCAGTATTAATGGCATGTCCTATATCACAGGCGTTTACGTGTAAGTTTTATTAAAATAAACATTGTGGAATTCCATGAGTGCGGTAATTATTCACCGGCGGTCTTGTGATGGGCGGTAATGATAATCATGATGATAACATCGCGTCTGCATCAGCAATTTATTTTAAGTTGCTTACTATTACGCCATATTATAGTTATAGTCTATGTACGTCCCACTGATGGGCACAGGCCTCCTTTCATTTCTGATAGGATTTTAGGGCAAAGAAATAACCGCGCTGCCTCAATGCCTGTTGTTGAACTTTACATGTCTTCAAAATATTTTTTTTATTTCTCAGACATACAAGTTTCATCACGATGTTTTTATTCACCGCCGCGCAAGTGGTAAATCAGCACTTAAAACTGTTATTAACAATTTCAATGGTGCCGGCGGGGATCGAACCCGGTTTGTTCGAGTACTGTGAAATTTACAGCATTTAGCCCTGAGCTTTCACGGCTCACTTTACGCTATAAGTATACTTAAATTTCATTTTAAGACCGGCACCTGGTATTTTAATTGTGGTTTTAGTTTTTCGAAAATTAACAAGACTAAAAAATTCCCCTCCTAATATGGTTTTTAAATTTTAAGTTATAAAAGGTTCTTATCACCTATATTGTGCTCCTTTGACATTTCTTCCAGGTTCACTAGCTTCCCATGATTTTAATTCCGCTGCGAACTGTAGATCTCTGGTATCATCACGTTTAGCAAACACTCCTGTGTCAGCAGATAATGAGCATTCTAACTGCACGTACGCATCACCAGGCTGCGGTTGTTGACAAATCGGCGGTTCTGTTTTTTCCTTATCCTTGGCGGAACTAACCTAAAATGAAAAAAAAAATCGACATTAAAGTTGGTGCTGAAAAAGTGTATTTTTGGTTAAAAAAATAATGTAATAGAGTTATAGCCTATATACGTCCCACCACTGGGCACAGGCCTCCCCTCATTTCTGAGAGGGTTTTAGGGCAAGGAAGTATTCGCCGCGCATCCCCAATGCGTGTTGGGGAACTTCACATGTCTTTGAATTTTTTTTTATTATTGCTCAGACATGCAGGTTTCCTCACGATGTTTTCCTTCACCGCCGAGCACGTGGTAAATCAGCACTTAAAATTACAATTAACAATTCCATGGGTGCCGGCGGGGATCGAACCCGGGTTGCTCGCCTTCTGTTATATTTACAGTGAGCTTCAACCATCTGAGCTACCAATATAACTAAGAACAAAAATGTGTATCTCACATATTTATATATTTATTCCAAAAGAATTATTCGGTGAAAATGAATGAAGTGAACAACAAATTCACAGTTTACCTGAAGATTTAGCAAGTAACATCTAGTAAAATAATATATAATCATCATCATCGTCGTCATCACCAACTAGAAAAGTCCACCGCTTAATATAGGCGTCAACCGTTGCAGGGAGGGATTGTTGTAAGCGCCATCTTGATGTCTCTCACTTTTAATGCTGCTCCTAGTCACTGAACTGAGTATTTTACTTCAGAAGTAAATGAGATAGCTATTCCACCATTTATCGGAAGCCTTGAAATCTTTCTTGCATATCCTACAGTAACGTCTAACAACATTCACGAGGAGGTGACGGATTCTCTTTTGCCGTCTACACACGGCAAATCATTTATATTATATTATACTTTGGGGGAAATCACCTTGACCTAATACCCATATAATTGTAGGTTAGGTCATATTTTCACTTAACCTACTTCAGCGAAAATACGGCAATGTAAAAGAAAAATATAAATATTCTTTTAAATTTTAATTTACGGCAAACCTTTTCTCTTAATGACTTCTTAGAGGCGACCTCAGTTTTAAATTCCTGGTAATTTTGAATTGCTATAACTCTTTTCCACTGAGCTAAAGTAAGCGGCCAACCCTTTGGTGCTCGAAGCCTGAAATAAAATTGAAATATTGCAGTCAAATTACTATTTACCTATTAATTCTAACCAAGAAAATACATAATATTTAGTGAATTTATAATTATAAAATTTGTTCTCCTAAATTGATTAATTTGTTTTATTTTTTTTTTAATGAATGAATCAAAGTTATAATTTACTTTTAATGAATTAAGGTGTATTAATTAAGAATATTAGTTAGTTAAATAATTAGCTTTAAATGGCTTACTCAATAAAGTATGTTTTCGCGTCTTGTGACAACCTCTGATCTTTTACCTAAAGTATGTAAAACGTATAGATTAATATAGAAATAATTGTATATACTTAATATAAATTTATTTTACTTTCTAAGTTAACGCCATTTAGAAATCATAGAAGATTTATATTAAAATTCGTACTGTACCTTTATAGATGATCGAACTTTAATACCAGCACTTGCAGGTTTCCCATATTTACGATGTGATCGAAAACTCGACAAAACAGATTCATTGAGATGCTGTAACAAAAAATCGAACAAAAGACGTTCAGTCAGTCTCAACTCATGTTTTGATGTTATTAGTAATTTGCATAAAGACTGTAACAACTTTTTGGATTGTTTAAAACACTCAAGAATCAGTAAGTTGTATAAACGCCGTCAAACTTTTCGATTACTTTTAGATAAAATTTCACTTTGTTTGTAAGTTGGTTCTTCAATCACGCCTTGGCAAACAGATTTTAATGATACTTGGTATAAAAGTGATTATCCCGTCGAATAGGACTTTTTTATTTATTTAAATTCTTTATTGCATTCCTATAGAAAAAAGTAACAAAGGGCGGACTGAATGTCTAAAGGCATTCTATGCCAGACTTTTAAATTATGCAAGCAGCTATACAGTTCTAGAAAGACCAGTATCACTGTGATCTATAAGATCTGTTGTGATCGCTGTCACGGATATATTTTTTTTCACTGCTAAGCCCTACATCTTCAATGAATTGAAGGAGTTGCGCTGTATCTGTGAGCAGCGAAATTGCTCACAGTTAAGCAACTCAAAATTTTCTGGGCTAAGTACATAGTTTCCCGGATGAGTGTTACGTTTGTGCACGTGGGTTCACAATCAGTAAAAATGTGCATAGGTGTTTACGAGAATTATTTTTTATGAAAAAAATCGTTTATTTTTCACAACCGCCCATCATAAGTTCCATAAGCTTATACATTACTTATATTATAGAGCTATGATGCAGTTACATTTTTTTTTCTTTCTTTTAAAACAAATATTAGTAGTATAGTTGTAGCACGAATGAGTTGGCTCGACCGGGGAAGGACCACGCTCTCACAGAATACCAGCGTAAAATAGTAGTGCTGCTGTAGTTAATGCTGCTGTGTTTCGTATGGTGAGTGTAGAGAACCGGAGAACCTTTTTACTGGAAACGAGGCATTCCATCTTAGTCGTCAAGGCTGACAACGCATCTGCATTTTGATTCGCAAATGAGGATAGATGTAAATATCTATGGACCACCTCAACCGCTTACCATCAGGTGGACTGTGGGCTCGCTTGTCACCATTTTCCTATAAAAAAAGAAAAGATTAAAAATTAAATAAAAATGATAATTAATATATGATTTAATATTTTATTATAGAATAAGGGTGACAAACGGACACACAGTCTACCTGATGGTAAGTGGATGCTGTGGCCCATAGACATCTACGTTTATCCTCGATTATCCTCGAATCAAAACGCAGACGCGTCGTCACCCCTGAGCTCTAAGATGCAATGTCTCGTTTCTAGTAAAAAAGGGTTTGTGGATCTCTACACTCATCATAAGAAACACAGTGGTATTAAGTTGCTATTTTAAACTGGTATTCTGTATGTGGTCCTTCCCCGGTCGAGCCGACCCATTTGTGCTACAACCATAATATAGCTACAGCGTGGCTCTACCACGTATAACATCTACAATATGTTTTATACTGTTTTATATACACATATACATACATATTGTTACGAGCTTGAGGTTCGTGACAATAAAAATTGCCGATAAAATTACCTAAATTAACACTTTAATTTACTTTACACAAACTAAAGTTAAAAACACTAATGATTAAACACACTAATTCACTTAATTCCGCTCCGAAGCTTCGCTTGTGTCGCCGAGTTCAACTCTGCCCGATCGCATCTTGCAGCGCCTACTTATATAAATTAGCAAAATATCCAGAATGTTCAAGTAAACACGCGCAAGGTACCGAGAGTTCGAGTTTTAAACTTCAAGAAGTTTAGTTCTTCGGTTCGAGACTAGATGGCGCTAGTGCGCCGATTTGAGGCATTGGAGCGCGTAACACTGCCCCCTCCTAAGACATGCTCGTCCCGAGCATTATCGGTCCCATAATAACGCGCTAGGCGATCCACATGGACGATCTTAGGAGTCCCTCTTGCGCCTTTCTGTATCCGGTAGGTTACATCGTTGATCCTGGTCACAATCCGGTACGGGCCGTCCCATTTAGCTTGAAGCTTAGGAGATTTCCCTTTGCTGCGGACTGGATTGTGCAACCACACAAGTGAACCTTCGTCGAACCCTTTGTTGTTCATTTTGCGGTCATACCGGGTTTTCATCTTTTCAGACATTTGCTGGCCCGATTGTCTGACGTGCTCATAAACGTCATTCATTTTGTTCCGCAAGTCATTTGCATAATCGGTTATACTGCGTGGAGCATCAGGTGGTATCCCGGTGATCAGGTCTGTAGGCAGCCGTAATTCTCTTCCAAAGTTTGCGAAAGCTGGTGTCACTGCTGTACTTTCGTGAACAGCGCTTCGATATGACAACAAAAACGGTTGTATGTGCTTGTCCCAATCTCGTTGCCGATTGTCTACAACTTTTGCTAGGTACCTCTCCAATGTCTGATTAAATCGTTCTACCATTCCATCAGATTGCGGGTGATAAGAAGTCGTTCTTGTTTTATGAGTACCCATAACTCGGCAAGTTTCCTGGAATATTTGAGACTCAAAATTCCTTCCTTGATCGCTGTGAATCTCTAAAGGTACACAAAACGATAGAAGACTTCATGAACTAGCTTATCAGCAACTGTTGAAGCTTCTTGATTTGGAATGGCGAAGACTTCTGGCCACTTAGTGAAGTAATCCATCACAACCATGAAATACCTGTTACCGCTTTCACTCTCCGGAAACGGCCCCGCCACGTCAATGGCTATTCTCTCCCATGGTGCACCAACATTGTACAACTTCAATGCACCTCTACTACGAGTCTGCGGTCCCTTTACAGCCGCACAACTTGTACATTTGCGACACCAGTCCTCGACATCGTTTCGACAGTAGACCCAGTAAAACCGTTCTCGGATCTTCAGTAGAGTTCGTTTAACTCCCAGATGGCCTCCTGAATAATCATTATGGTACAGCTGTAGAACATCCGGTACTTTAGCTTTAGGGACAACCATTTGTAAATGACAGCTGTCTCCCCGAACATTTTCCCATTTACGGCACAGAACTCTATCCTGAAGCAGCAAGCTGTCCCACTGGGCCCAATAGCTTTTAGTGGTCGAACTCATCGCTGAGATATCGCTCCACTTGGGCTTGGGAGCACTGGCCTTCATCCATTCCAGGATCGGCTTGATGTCCGGATCTTCCTGCTGTGCACGTTGTAAGCTGTCCTTCCACTCGTTGCTGAGGTGGTCTGCCCTGAGCATCCTCACGGATACCACTTCCTTACTCTCTTGCCTAGTACAATGTTTGCAATCTTCAGGACAAGGTCTTCTTGACAATGCATCTGCGTTGCCATGAGATTTCCCGTTGCGATGTTCGATCTCGAAGTCGTATTCCTGCAGTAGTTCAATCCACCTCGCAACTTGTCCTTCTGGATTTTTAAACTGCAATAGCCATTTTAGTGCAGCATGGTCGGTTCGTAAGTGAAACTTTCGTCCCAGAAGATATTTGCTAAAATGCTGCAACGACTTTACCACAGCTAGCAATTCGCGTCTTGTGACACAGTAGTTCCTTTCCGGTTTTGACAACGACTTGCTGAAGTACGCTATCACGACCTCTTGGTCACCATTCCGTTGAGACAACACACCGCCAAGTCCTATATCACTTGCGTCTGTGTCAACTATAAATTCTTTGCTTGCATCAGGGTATCCCAAAATAGGTGTTTTGCGCAGACGGTCCTTGAGCTCCTGGAATGCGATATTGCAACTTTCATCCCAGCAGAAATGTCGCTTCTCCTCGGTTAGCTTGTGCAGAGGTTTGGCTATATCTGCAAAGTTCTTCACAAATCGCCGGTAATAGGAGCACAAACCCAAAAATGCTCTAACCTGCGTCTTGTCTTTTGGAACCGGCCAATCCTTGACAGCGGCGATTTTCTCTGGATCTGTGCGGATACCTTCTTCCGATACTACAAACCCCAAAAAGTTAACTTGCCGTTGGAATAGTGAACATTTCTTCCGGCTCAACTTTAGGTTGGCACTCTGAATCTTCATGAGCACGCGTTCCAGGTTTTGAAGGTGTTCCTCAAACGTACGGCCTATGATGATGATGTCATCCAAGTAGACCAGACAGGCATCGCCAATTAGCCCGGTAAGTACAAGTTCCATCAGCCTTTCAAACGTTGCTGGAGCATTGCACAACCCAAACGGCATTACTTTAAATTGCCACAGACCCTTTCCCGTCGAGAACGCAGTTTTCTCGTTGTCCTTAAGGTCAATTTCAACTTGCCAGTAGCCACTTTTTAGGTCCAGCGTGCTAAACCACTTTACTCCTGTAAGCATGTCCAGCGTGTCGTCAATTCTTGGCAAGGGATAGCTATCCTTCTTAGTAACGTCGTTCAGACGGCGGTAGTCAACACAAAACCGCAAGCTGCCGTCCTTCTTCTTTACCAGTACCACGGGTGAACACCATGGACTAGATGAAGGTTCAATAACACCATCCTTCACCATTCCCTGAATCATGGTTTCCACTTCCTTTTCACGTGCTACCGGCAATCGTCTTGGCCGCTGACGGATAGGCAACTCTTCACCTGTGTTTATTTTGTGTTGAACTAAACCAGTCTTTCCTATGTCAGCATCGTTTGATGAGAATACATCGGCGTACTCGAGTGACAACTTCTTCGCCTTGACCAATTCGTTCGGGGACAGAACACTGCGACAGTCTTCCAAAAGTGTGGTCACTCTCGTTTCTGAATCCTTCTGGGGGTCCCACTCGATATATATTGGCACCGACGTAACCAATCCACTTCCTCACAAGTGCCAACCAGTGTGCCTTTTTCTATAATCTGTTCCCGGTCGCAAAGGTTCAGCACACGTATTCTTGAGATGTCAGTGGTTCTGACCAAGGTTCGAGCTACTTTCCATGGAAGGTCATTGTTTACCCTTTCCACAAGTACACAACGGTGAGCTTGTCCAGCGTTTCGGGGAAGACTAACCGGAACAATCGTTTCCGATCTCGGCGGAAGAACAATCTTCTTAATGCTGTACACGTTCCCTGGTAACGCACCTTCCATAAAAAGTTCCTCCTGTCC